CTCTCTCTCTCTCTCTCTCTCTCTCTCTCTCTCTCTCTCTCTCCGATCGCGTCTCTCTGCGAGCGTAGCCTCTCGCAGGCGAAAAACGCCTCTTCTATCTAAAATTTGAAACACCCTCTGTACATCGAGATCACCGGTCAATCTGCTTGCAAGAGAGGGCAACAGTCTTCCTAATTGCGTTTACATCGCCCGTTTGCAAACGTGCTCCTCCTTACACCGTACAGCAGCTCCATCGACCGGCTTGATCGAACGATATCGTCGTGAGTGGCTCGAATTCACCCTCCCCCCTCTCACCCTGAAGTCAATTTCTCACCGTCCATTAGCAAACAAGTCGGTTTCAAGCAGGCAACGATCGATCTTAAGGGCATTGACATTGTTGACCCAGCGCTTCCGCGAGCCAGATGCACCGGACGGACACATAGGCCACGCTTTTCTCTCTCTCTCTCTCTCTCTCCCTCCCTCTCCCCGTAAGACGTAACTTCCGTTTCGCCGGAACAAGCAACAACTGTCTTTGATCGCTTGCGACCAACGGAAAATCGTGATATATCCACGGGTGTTCTCGCCACGGGGGTTTGCCTTATCACGTCAGAGAGATGGAAACACGAGTCGGCGGGAATCGGTGCCCGCGAATCACCGATGCCGGAGGTCGTCGACGTTCACTCGGCTATCGAACCCGGCGAGCGAGAGCAGCGGAGGATCTGGAGGAGCAGCAGCTCGTCGATTTTCATCGAGGTATCTACAACGTCGATTTGCATCGAGCTTGCGGCGTCGACTCCGTCGAGCTTACGGCTGGCAGCACTGAGTATGTTCGACCCATCGAGCTTCTCTCCAACTATTCGCTTCTCTCTCTCTCTCTCTCTCTGTGCCTCTCCCTCTCCTTCTTCACCGGTGCTGCTTACACGGTGGTTGCACCGGCCTTGTCGCACCCTAAATCTCTCTCCTCGAAATTCTTTAATCCTTTCCACTGTCCCCCGACTTTCAGCGTTCGCGGCTTCAAGGTCCGTCCCCCAGCAAAGCAAACGCTCCTCTCTCTTTCGCTTTTCTTTTCTCTCGCTTTTCTTTACTTTTCTTTTCCTTCGCCGGATCTCCGCTCGCTTGAGAGCTCGTCCTTGATCACGCGCGAATCGTCCACCGAACGAGATGCCGCCGATCGTCGGGCAACAATTGTCATCAGAGTGACATAACACACACTCGGAGGATCTGTTATCACCGGTTACGTGCCGTTACACGCGGAGTCACTGTCTGGGAGCTACTGTCGGTACCTCCTCGTTGCCTTCCACTTCGTCGCCGTCGCCCCCGCTACGAGGAATCGCCAGCCAGGACCGGACCTATCCGCGATGCCCTCCTCCTTACTCTCTTCCCTCTCTTCTTCCTCTTCGTTCGCCTGAAAGCGAATTATAATGCCTGTTTCTCTTACTTTGCAATTTTTTTCTTTTCTTTTTTTTCTTTCCCTTCTTTTTAGGTTTTTCGAACTTCTCGACCTTCACGAGAAGGTGATACCCTGAAAAAAAAAAGACTATCGCGCGAATTGTCGAAGACAATTTATCCTCGACTGCTCTTTGAACAGCGCGATAGATCTTATAACTCTAATGCCGGGCTATTTTTGTCTATGTTAGTTACTTTGGCGCAGGCGAAGCTGATTTAAATTTTAAATCTGGGATAAAACACTCGGAAAGAAAACGGCCGAGCGTTTCGTATCTCGCGATGTTTTTTTTCTTCTTTTTCGTCGCTGCGACATCGTGTTAAAAATAACGTCGCGGCAACATGTACATAAGTTGGCAATCAAATTCGATCTTTTTTATTTTA